CGCTGGTGTGAATGGCTCAGCTCGCCAAAATAATCTCTTCAGAGTCCAGAAGAGCGGGAATACTTTCACCTCCCCCCAGCGACGTGAATATCAGAGGCAGTTCCGGGAGAATTCTGAGGCACCCGCTCAGGGCAAGCCTTTGCCCCCTGCCTGCAGGAGAAGCACTAAGCAGCACGGTACCCACGGTTAACAGCAGAGGGGGAAAACCAAGGCTTTTCCAGGCTGCTTTTAATTTCAGCTGAAGAAAATACACTCATCTTTCCAGAAATGTTGACAGCTGTGGGTGAACATTCAAAGTGGTTCCAGCAGCATGAACATACGCAGCGTGTCCTTCCGTCCATCAGGAGGGCAGCTTTTATTTTGGGTCACACACACGCACTCTCACTCTCAGAAACACTTTCTTTCCACGTTCTGCAGATCTCTGCAGAGAAAAGGATCACAGCCTGTGAGGCTGACTTCATGTCAAGCAGCGCCAGCACTCCTCGTCTCCAGCACGTTCCCCCTCCAAGGCACCCAAGGCCCATGGCCCTCAACCTCTCTTCTCACTGGCCCAGAAACACCGGGAAAACACCTGGTGGTCAGAAGGACTAGGGAGTCAGGCGTGGAAGCAACAGCCGCCTTTCCGGTTGTCTTCCTTCGCAACAGCCCAAGGCTTCTGCACTCCTCTTTGTCCTGCACAAGGAATTTCTGGCCCACGAAGATAAGCGTGTGCTCTCACTCTTGTCCTTAAAGCAATCTCTTAAGATTAAATGGAAGCAAAATCCATTAAGAATACTGCTGTCATTTCAGACAATTATATTTCCATCAGCGTAAGGAATGGTCTAATGGAACAATCAACACAGTTAAATCCCCCTTAAACCAAGCAGAGCAAAGAGTTTATCTTGTAGCTGAAGCAAAGTTTACAAAACCAGATACTAATAGTAGGGTCTTCTGTGTTTCAAAGACCAAGGACCAGCAAAGTACAACACGAATTTTTTCTAAAGCATTTATTTTAATGAATTGACACTTAAAGGATGTATCCACCTTGCTACTCTGTAGACCAAAGGTTAAATGCACTGAAGGGAAGAGAGGCATACTAAAATCCTTAGTTGAAGACTCCTCGCTGCAGAATACAATTCCCACAGCAGAATAACAATTTCCTGCATTAGTACTGAAAAAATATTGAAAAAAGTATTTCAGTAGATTTCTACTTAGTAACAATATATAATTCTATTACACCAGAAAAAAGACCAGAACAAGCACTGATGATATTTGAAACAGCCACAGCATAGCCATGTTTCACTTTAACATGCAGTTTTACAACTGCAGCACAAAATCTATTACTTCCCCATCACTTCATGTCCAACGAAGTATACTTCATGTACTCCTTGCAGCTTTGCAAAAGCTATTTAAAATATTAAAGGGGACTTTAATCTCCATTATACTCTTTTTTTTTTTAAGGGGAAAAAAGCAGGCTTTGCTAATGGAAAATTTTAATCCATTAAAAATAGCTTACAAAATTTGAGGATTGACTTACTTTACAAAAGTAGGAAAAAGGGCTAACTAGCAACCAGTCGAAGAATTTGGTTCCGTAAGTATGTGCACAGCTGGTTCATCAAGTCTCTGTTCTCTCCTTCAACCCAGTGCATCTCTACTAATACATCATTTCCTTCTTTCTTCACATTCATTAAGCACTTAAAGAGAAAACATCTACTAGTTTCTTTGGGACTTTGTTCTTTTTCAACTGTCAGATCACCAGCTTCCTCTGCAGGGCAAGGTTCCTCCTTTGCATTACTGGAACCTTCTGCCTGCTCTGCTTCTGTCTCTTCCTCCTTCACGTGCTCACTGTGTTCTTCTTTGGCAGCAGACTCTTCCGTTAGCTTGTCACCGGCGGTCAAGTGGACATCCTCATCAGGTGCCATAAACTGTGTTTCAGAGTCTTCAGTCTTGGGGTTTTCACAGTCCAAATTGCTGCTCACACTCTTCTGGCTGTTTTTTTCGTCTTCCATTGCTTGCAGGACATCTTCAGTAGCCCGAGGAAGTTCTCGTAATTGCCTTACTCTCTCTCGTTTCCTTCTCCTCAGATGAATCCAGGAGTTTTCAATGGCAGTCACAAACAGGCTAACTTCATCTTTTCCACAGGGAACACGCTTATGCTGAACCTATTGCAGAAAACAGCAGAACTTCACACTATCCTCTCACAGTTATGCTTTCAAGTAGGATGTTGTTTTGACATATAATACTTTATACTGTACCTTCAGATCAGTGAGAACCTTCTCTACCCAGGCTCTAACCACAGCAATAGCTTCTACAGCATCCCAGCCCATAGCTGCAGCTTTGATGGATAACTCTTTGACTGTAGAAGCCAAGACCATAAATGTAATTGGTTTGCGGGGTTTTTCTAATTTTCTTTTTGAAGGGGGGGGTGAAAAGAAAAAAAAAAAAAAAAAAAAAAAAAAAAAAAAAAGCACAAAGCTATGCAGTATTAGCGGGATGACTTTTGTACTCAGAAGACATGTGGATTAAGACTATAGTGTAAGCCACTAAACAGTCATTGATATGGCCTGTGTTTCACTTCACTCCAAAGAGTTTTAGACTAAAAACAGCTAACAGAATCACGCACTTTATGCTAGCCTGACGGACAGAGGGAGTTTACCTTCGGACATTAAGCAAAAAGCTTCACTGGCTCCTTCAAACTGTTAGCTCTCTGTGAGCTGAGAAAATGCAGCTGCTCTTGGCAACAGGTGTCAAGTGCTAATACCCACATTTTGATCCAAGTTCTCTAAAGGTTTACTTACATCCTCTGTAAGGTTGGTTATTGTCTATACCTATTTTCAAGTATGTGTACATTAGGATCCAAAAAAACAACCAGCTCACATTATTTAAGGTGAACAAGCTCCACTTACATTCATGTAGCCAAGTCTGAGCTAGACATGTTCGTATCTATTTAGTAACAGAATCTATACGGTAAATTAAAACCAGGTTCTCAGAGGGAAGCTTAACATTCAAATCTAGCCTCAAACTTAGCATATTTTTAATACCACCAAATTGCTATTTGAAGTATGTTACAAGTGACCTTTACTTTAATTGAAACCCACAGGAAGCTCCTACATAGGCTTCTTTTCTCCTCCCTAAACATAGGTCATTCATGAATCACATGTAACAACTGCTAACAGACTGGCAGCCGGTTCAGAAATCCCACTGTCCATACAGCCCAGCGCATCCCTTGTTCCAGTCTGAAGGAGAACAGTTTTGTTTCACAGCAGTTACAGCTCATTAGGCCCTTCCTCAAATAAGATGCACAGACAAATCACAAGCAAACCAGAATTAAGCTACTTACAGGTACTTGTACATCATCATAGAAACTCCATGCCAGTGCCCATCTCATGGTGCGTCCTTGACAGAATTCAGTATGAGTAACTTTAGGAACCTATGCAAAGAAGCCATATAAAACTTCACGTTAATAAACAATATTGTTTCACTGCATGCATTTTCAAACTTATAAAAATAACAAAGTTAGCATAGAGTTATTTTCTCATGACAGAAATGGAGATACTTTCCAACATGGCTCATGGATGTCAGTGCCATCTGAAGCTGGTCAGTGCCAAACCTGTTACCCCTGTCCAGGATTTCCCATCTCTGCCCTGCCACATCTACGCTTTTTCAGAGCTTGAAGTTCAGCAACACACAACGTGACCCTTCTTGTGCAGTGATCCAGCACACCTACAGCACATATCTGCATTACGATTCTACACAAAGCACATAATTTCTCCTTGTTCAGAACCTGCTCCTGTCCCGCATTTGAATACTGAACCCATTGCTGCAGCAAAGGAACATAGAACAAAGGCCACGAAGGGCAGGGAAGCCAAGCCACTAACCTGTCTGCAGATAGCAGAAATGTGCCCAGAAACTCTTCTCTACCTTTGCCCCCCAAAAATCATCTGAACTTACACTGCCTTTAAACATAAAACTCAGATCCAATGCTAGTGTTAACTAGCCTTTCCACACATGGATGCTGTAAGGCATTTATGTATGGTACAGAGAATGTGCTAAATACTAGCAAAGATAAATATCAACCATCCCATCTCACTCTGAATTATCAGTTCTAGAACATAAGACCCAGGACTGCACAGGGGGGGGAAAAAAAAAAACTTAAAAAAAACCCTTACTTTTGAGAAATGCCTTCAAAAAGGGAGAGGAAAAGGTGTCTCCATCCTAGAACATTTCCTGCCTTTGGATGCCTAAATCTACCACAATTTCCAATAAATACAGCAAATGTCAACATGATTTGAACAATGAGTGGAGTTTTTGGAACACTGATGCTGCATCCTAATCTAAACCACAACACAGTCTGTGTGCTTGGTTGCAGTGAACATATTCCCGCCTCTATGACAACAAAGATTACAAACCTGAGCAAAATGAAACCGGTAATCAAAAGAAAAACTCAGCTTTTCTATGCAAGGTTCACAAGAATTTCTCTCAACTTTACTAAAACTGAGGTGCAACAGTTCAGGGATAGGGAATAAAGCCAGATAGTTGAAATATGGTGCCGAACTCAGCATCTGCTTTTGGCATTGAGCTTAAGAACTCCCTGTGGCTTGTAGTTCACCTTTCTGGGAAGTGATTTCACTACGCCTTTTCTTTCCTTCACTTCTCCACCATATACAAGGACAGATCTCACAATCTTTGTATGGAAATTAGAGAAGAATATGCTTCCTCCAGAAAGCCATAAAAAAGTCCTTTGCACAGCCTTCTTGCATGAGAGTAGTAGCACAAGGTTCAATTTTACTTGGTGCCAGAACTGAACACAAACAAAATACCACTGCCATTTAAATAATCTTACAATTTCTTTTATCAACCAAATTGCTAGATTTCATGTAAGCTAACAGGACAGAAAGCTAGACTTTTGTAAAAAAAAAAAAAAAAAAGAAAAAAAAAAAATACTGTTAAGACTATTCTAAAGCAGAAACCCTGTATGTTCTAGAATGGATGAAGACATGCTTCAACACATGATAAAGACAAAAATCTGGAGACGATATGTGCTACTTACTATCAGCTTTGAATCTACAATAATTAAATCTCAACTACTTTGAATGCTTCCCTAACAAGGAACTGCAGTTTCTTCTTGTAAACAAAAAATCAGTCAAATAATTCAGTAATAATTACCCACGTGCATCGGAACATAGTCTATATTGTATAGAACAGGATATACATGGACTATACACAAACTCACCCCCTGGATTCGCAGTTCCTCTTTCAATGGCGCTAAACTGCATTTCTTCCCCAACATGCAACTGTACCATCTGCAAACAACACATTAATAAAGCATTTTACAAATACAGATCAACTGAAAATGGCAACTACCAGAAAGAATCACTTGGATCAGAAACTTGCAAGAACAACAGGAGATTTAAAAACAAAACAACAACAAACTAATCACACTCTTAAACACAGACCAGGACATAGTACAACATGAATCGGAACAGAAAGCCCAAAGACTGACTGGACAGTGGAATCTTTTTGAGTTTTTAGGAAATACATAAAGTCTGTTACTGAAAGGTATTAGAGGACTGGAGCATCTCTCCTACAAGGAAAGACTGAGGGAGCTGGGCTTGTTCAGCCTGAAAAAGAGAAGACTGAAAGGGGATCTTACAAATGCTTACAAGTGTCTTAAGAGTAGGTGTCAAGAGGATGGGGCCAGACTCTTTTCAGTGGCGCCCAGCGACAGGACAAGGGGCAACGGGCACAAACTGAAGCAGAGGAAGTTCCAGCTGAACGTGAGGAAGAACTTCTGTACTCTGAGGGTGACAGAGCACTGAACAGGCTGCCCAGAGGGGCTGTGGATTCTCCTTCTCTGGACATATTCAAGACCTGCCTGGACAAGGTCCTGTGCAGCCTGCTGTAGGTGACCCTGCTTCGGCAGTTTTTTTTTGTGGGTGCCCCTGCTTCGGCAGCGGGGTTGGACCAGATGATCCCCTGAGGTCCCTTCCAACCCCAACCATTCAGTGATTCTGTGAAAGAGTGCCTAAACAACCAAGAATCCTGTTTCAAAGAGTGACTTTAGTTATGTAGATGTTCCCCCTTAGAAGAATTTTTTTAATTTCTCCACTTTCTTTGGAGAATGAATCAGAATAAAAAAGAATATTCAACTATCGATAAGCATTTGTGCCTCAGAATCAGACCTACTGACTACCGCTTCTGCTCATCTGTAACTCGTTACCCAGGTTGCCATCACCTAACCCATATTTCATGCGGAAACCAACAGAGGAAAAAAAGAGGAAAGAAATATACTTTCCCACTTCTGGCGGAACTTATCCATCCATGCAGCTCCACAACTTCAGTATCTCCAAACACGACACCTCTGTTCTTCATCTAAATTACCAGTTGAGCTCTACACGCCCCCCTTCCATACTTTTTTGATGACTGGATTCAAAAAGGTTATTCGTAAATATAACATATTGAAGTACAAAAATTGGAGTTCCCAGTTATCAATGGACAGTTTCCCCAAGACTATGCATCTAAATTGAAGGCAAGCACTTTAAATTGCTGACATAATACAAATAAAATACACTGTAAACTAAAAAAGAAAAAAAACCCAGTGGTATTAAGCGACAATTATTTAAATTTACTTCCTGCATAATGCAATATGCAGAATTTAGTGCAGCAATACTTAAACTCCAAAATTTCTAGCCAAACTAAACCACACATCTTTCCCAGAATCATAAAGCACTGAACCTATGACTCCTAGCTGAAGTGGGGATGGGGATAAATAAGCCCAGATCATCTCCTGGCCCAAGGGAGTCTCTGTCTACTAACAGTTCATTACTCACGCCCTTTGGCAGAGTTGCCAACCCTTATCTCTAACAAAATCGGAAACAGTATTTTAAGTAAATTGTTCTTTCTGTAACAGATTCTCCAAGGCAGTTTGTTCAAAAATGTGAACTGAAGCATTCCCACCCCCCAAACACACAGAGCTTATTTTTCCTAAATATGATACACAGTTAGCACATGGGTATGTTCTATGCCTTACGCTATCAATTTATCAGATCAAGAGATATCCTCCTCTTTCCTAGAGTAGTGGTGCTGCCAAGAGGAGCAATACAGGAGTGATGCATTCCTCATAATTCCCCATCACCTTTTCAAGGCAAAGACTTCTTGCCTTGAGAGTAGCATCAGTCAGTTCTCTACTACATTTGCCACTCCTTTCAAGGTCATCAAACAGCCACTTATCAGTAGCAAGTTTCCCCTGGATCTACACACACCATGTGGAACCAGAAATCACATTGCTACTGCATTTCCAGAAGTCATCACAGATGCATTCCCTGCCCCTACCTTACAGAACCAATTAAATCCTCAACTGCATACATGTGCTTTCCAGATCATAGTATTTTACCCAGTACACCGCATGCTCATGTGGAGAACTACACTGATGGAACAAAAGCACTACATATCAGAAAAAAACACATACATACATACATATATACCATCACTTCCTCTCTGACTTGCCTCCCCTCATCCATTGCATCACTGATTAAATTCAAAACAACTGTTTCAGCTTACATTTAGTTTTGAAAAATCACTACATTTTAGACACAAATAAGAGCATACACAGCTAAAAGCTTGCCTACATCAAGCAGCCTAAAATAACATTCTACCTACCAACTTGGACAGGAACACCAGTCATTTTCCAGTGGCACAAACAAGATTGCTAAGAAGTCTCAGAAGTTTCATTCTTCTGGCTTGTAAGCCCTTCTGAACACCAAAACCTCTGTTTTATCACTCTGGCATACTCTCTATCTCCTTTATATATTTTATAAGATTTGGTAAGCGACAGAAAAAGGAAAGACATTAAAAAAAAAAACAAAACCACACCACATTGCAAGGTTTGCAAAACTGCAACCTCTGCAAACCTCAACCTTTCTTCTCTTCAGAGCACTACAAGATAGAAGCAGTTCTAACAGAGCCAAATGCAGTTTCGTTTTGTCATGTTTTTTCCAAAACCTCAACAGATTCTTCATTTTTTCAGTCCCATTACTAGAAAACAAACATTCTAAAGAAAATGTTTGGTATTAGACAGATGAAGATGAGGTTCTAACGCAATACTCTGCCTAGAAAGGTCTAAACAGAACAAAAGCAAAACACTTCTTGAATGTGCAAAAGTCAGGCTATTTCCCTTGCTTAGGGCGCTGATGAAGCTGTGGTAACACACACATAAAATTTTGGCAGCTGTATTTTAGAAGGATATAAAAAAAAAAGTCTTCCAGAAGAGCTAGCGGAATAATGTACAGCACTGGGGCAGCGAAAGTCTGACAGCCAGAAAACTGAAGATGTGCCATCTCTTTACCTTGTTCAAAAGAAGATCTCAGTATGGTTTTTATTGCAGCTTAAGCTCAACCAAGACAGCATTCAGTACAAAAATGCCCTTTAGCAGGCAAAGCTGCAAATTACCAAAATTGAACCAAGAAAAGACAGAAACTTTTAGGTAATGAACAGATAATTAGGCAATGTCACAAATCCTCCCCCATCCCGGAAGCCCTTAATCATCTTTGGCCATCTTCAGCAGGTACGTGTGTTAATTTAGCGCTAGGCTACAAGTGTCACTTGTACAGGCTTTTTTTGCTTTCTGCCTTTAAATACCTCCACTGACAAGCTGTAATTGTTTGATGTCCAGTAACAACCAATTTTACACAGACTGAGACTAATTACTGATGTGTATGTATCATTAAACAAACAAAAAAAGACACCACTGGACCACAGCTACATTCCTTACTTAAAATACCATTTTCACATGATTTCTGACAAAGAAGCAGATAAAAGGTGGGTGGTTGTTTTTTTTAACGGGAACAAAGCACTTACCGTAACCTCTTTTTAAGTTGTAGACTATCATGAATAATTCTTTTGACAAATTCTAGTTCTCCCCCCTCAGCCATGATTTCTGTGATCCCTCCTGTATTTACAGAACTGGGAGGAGGACGCCGTGGATTTCGAGAATTTACTCCCTTGATAAAAAAGAACATTTTGAAATGAACACTTTATGAAATGTTAGGCTGCTCTGTACACTGCTTCCTGCCTCAATCTTTAGTGGGTAGCAAGTGTCACCAACTCCCCCCATCAGAACCACGGATAATAGACAAAGATACACTCAAAATAAGCATAACTGAGTGAAATCCCTACAGTCCCAAACCTAGATAAGTTACTTGTCACACACATCAGTATCCTGCTAATATGAAATACGTGATTCCAATATATGCAAGACATGCTGGTTACATGCATCTACACAATTACCATCTATAGTGTTTAATTTCAACACAATTTTTTTTTCTATTGCCCTATATTATGGAGTTAAGTTTCTGACTATATTCAGTGAGTATTCCAAGAACTGTTCTGAGCTGTACGATATTGCCTAAATCACTAAGGAAACGAAAACCACAGACAGGCCTGATGCCAGAAACTAATTCCTCTCTATGCAACGGGCACTTGATTTCAGATTTACTAGCTGTCTATTTTCCAAACTAATTCTCTAAGACCATAAGAATTTGTGAAAAAAATCCACAGGTCATCCTCCACTTTAGAAAGGGTAACAGTTAAGTTTCTCAAAACTCCTTTGGGGCAGGGGGTGGAGAGGGAGAAGACTTACAGGCTATTTCATAATGACTTGGGATTTTCCACTCAACCTTCCCCAAGGGAAAAGGTTAAATTGTTGCTACCCTCCCACTCACTGAGTGGAGCCAACATTTAGTTTGTTAACTTACCTTCGCTTCCAATTGGTTGGCAAAAAATGGGGGGTTACACATGCAGAAATCATAAACGATCTCAGATTCTTCTTTCAGCGCATCCATTAGAAGAGTCTTCTGTGGTACCTTAACCACTAATAGAAAACAAGAATTTGTTCAGTAAGGAACTTCATCTTTTATCTAGCATGCTACTTAAACATAAGTGTTTCTTGAAACAATACATCGTATAAAAACTGTACTTTCTAAAAAATACTTCCTGTAAAAAAAAGTAACAAGTATCAGCATGCAAATAACCACTTCAAGTTAAGGATTAGCATACAAACAGCTTATATGTTTACACACAGTGGTAGAATTACATGAATCCATTTAAAACAATAGTAACTTCTTGAGTTACACTGAGTTCTCTGATGCAACTACAAGCACACTTTAAGACCTTCCAAAAATCAACAGAAGTGTCAGTTAATTAGCCCACAGGCTCCGCAGAGATAACGAAATCCCGGTCTAAATAACTTTCTTTAAGATACAGAATTCTAGAATGGTACTCAATAAAATCTACTGGTTGGTCTTTCTAGAGTGTCAAGCTAAGAAAGACTAAGATAAAGCTATCTTCACTGAAGTTGCACAGCACAAAGATTAGCTTTACATCTGATCTTATAATAAAACAGAATGTGCATCCTGCACAGGAAATGTAGTCTTACATGATTTAGAACAACCACAACGAAAGAAAAAGACCAGAGTTCCTTCCTAGACAAACCTTCCGCCTACTAGGTTTCACCAACTTATTATTACCCATCACAAGGACAAAGGCAAACATCCCACATAGATCTCCACTGTCTTTACCCAAAGGCTATCTTATTCCCTTGAAAACTGTGGTCAAGTCTTGTCACACATCTTCTAAAGACCACAGGAATTCCAGCCCAAGGACCAGGAAATTAAATATGGACTAAGTCCAGTTAACACATGTACAAAGCTTATTACAAGCAGGACTTCTTGCAGACTTTACTAGTCCTGCAACTCACGGATAATACACAAAGATCTTAAGAATGGAGGCAGAACACATTCCTCTTCTTCACATTTACTACTACAGTTTATCATCATCCTAAGAATATAAAATTATTATGGTAGCAGGCAATTACCAAAGTTCAGCTTATATATAGATAGAATAACACCTAGAACACCCACTAACTTTAAAGCTGCAGTTCTTTAAGTCACAAGCATTTCAGAGTACAGAAATACATCATCAAGAGAAACAAATTTTAAAACCTATGAGAACAGAATGATAGTTCATCTCTAAAATATATTAATGCATTGTTCCCTGGTTTATCATCTTAAATTCATAAATTAAACACTTAGCATTTCTCCTTATATTATATATTTGTTCAGGTTTAAAATTGTTGACATTGAAGTGTGACACTTTCTTCTCTCTGTAGGTATCTGGTCTCCTGCTTCCCTTATAACACTAAAAAATGGTAAACTAATAAAATTCGCAATTATAATTACAAATTACTAAATACAAATTACTAGTTACAATTACACATCTCGGTCAAAGCCAAAAGTACTTCAGCCAGGTATTACATCACTTGGACTGATGGTTTTCTTTCAAGTTCCAGTCTTCCAAGACATCACTAAATGTCTCCAGAAGCTGTGCAGTGCATACTTTTGGCACGGAGGTGTAACACAGCAGGTGCTGTTGCACACAGAGGAGACATTTACTTATATACATGCTTTGAAATACCCAGCCCACAGTTCTGAACATTTCACTGCCTTTCTTGTTAGAGATACCCTTTTCAATTCTACGGAGGAGTGAAAAAAAAAGAAAGAAAGAAAAAAAAAAAGAAAAAAAACACAGAATTAGTTTTTACAGAAGAGAAAGCAAACGGCTAAAGTGAGCAGAACTCTGCACAAAGATCATATTAATATATGAGCAGTAACACATGGTCTATTGTACATACTTTCTAAAATTACTGCAAAGTTACTTAGAAGATGACATCAAAGAATGCCACATTCCACCTAACTTAATTAACGTATCTTTAATTGACAGTATGTGATCTTATTTGGAAATAAGAAAGCAAATACAACAAACAGGAAGCATGCAATGTAATAATCATGTCGCAGAGCAAACCTAAATTACCTTGCAAGTAGTCTGAAAACTTCCAGAATCTAAATTGTTGAAAATATCTTAATCCACCATTACATACAGTGTACTGATTTTTTTTTTTTCCAAATAGCAGCAGACGAATTGTGGCCATCATCCCTTTCCAGTACAATAGATACACAACTCAGAACACCATGGAATCTTTTTTTAGCATTTGCAATCAATCTCCAGCCTTATCAGTTTCTGTTTTGCACATACAGGAGAGATTCCCTTTGGACTGCAAGTAGTATTTCACTTTCAACCAACACACATTACTGTTTTTCCCTCTAGGAAAAAAGAAGCTATGATGCAATTAGTAAGTCATCACCACATTACTGCTGTTTTTACTATCACTGAATTATTTTTTTGATTGAAGTTAGAAGAACAAAGTCTATATTCCAGCATGACCTCCAATTCTGGCAAAAATTTCCAGACAGACTCTTACAACAGAAGAAAAATTGTGGGGTTTGGATTTTAAAACAAAACAAAACAAAAAAAAAAAACACCAGAGGTACAGAAAGATTTCTAATCTGACTCTAAAATGCTAAACAAGTTACTAGCTACAGTAGTATACTCAGCTCTAGCTGAACAATTCAGGCCCAGGAGTTAAAAACTGCCAGGGGCCAGGGTGGATCATTCCCAGGCAGTGTCTAGCTACCGGTACCACCAGTGGTACTCCCTTGCCTGGGGCTCTGCCCACCAGCAATCAGTCATTTACTCCAGCTTATCACCTTTAACACTACGGCTTCACGTGAGACATTTTCCTTTGCCAGAGCTTTTTCCAGTCTACTGCAACTTCACCACACCACTAAAAATCCTACGATGGCAGCAGTAACAGAAAACCATCATTGTTCTCCACATCAAGTTCTGCATCTTCAACACTGACAAGGAGGACAGCATTTTGGTAAAAGGGATACTTCCAAAATCCAGCAGAAGTAAAGTTTTTATTTCAGTGCTGAATAATGGACCTGTCTGTTAGTGTACTGAGCTCCCACAGAAATTTTCCCAGGGTCATCCACAGACCAAGTCTGGCATACTGCTACTACCACAGGCACTGTCAGGACCTCAATCAGAAATGAGGACAGAGGACTCTCTCCGTACAAGACATGTATATGTGGCAGTGTCATGCAAATCAACCGAGGGGAGCACTCCAGGTCTCCTAGAAGCAGGAACAGCACGAACCCTAAGAAATACTTCAGTAACAGACAAAAATCATGGAGAGAAGAAAACACCCCAGGGTGAAGCTTAACTCTCGGGATTTCTAAGGATGAGTAGTTCTCTATACGCACATCCCATTCTAGACAAGCTATGGCTTCCTAGCTTAAGCATATACAGACCTTAGTAAACATTCTGCTTTACTAAAAACAACTGAGCATGAATTTGGCAGGTATATGGATTCCGATCTGCCAGTGAACACAGCAAAAATATGTGACAACATTTGTACCCTACTGAATACCTTTTTACATACCTTTTATAAGATCAGACAAGTTATTCCGTTCCACATTCTTCTTGGCATAATTGAAGCACATATCATCCACTTCTGTTGCAAGAAAATACCAGCCATTCAAAGTTGCTCCAAGTAGTGGGTATATGCAAGATGCCCCTGTCCCTGCAGAAGTGAAAAGCCATGAGAAAGGCAGAAAAAGCCTCTGGTGTTATATGCAGTATGGCTGTTCACTATGTACTTTTTACAACAACAACAACAGTCAAGAGAATGTTGATAACTGATCATCCACTACTCAGTTCTTTAGTGAACTTTATTTTCTTAACTTGAAATAGAGCTTTGTCAAATATGCACTTTTAATAAAGATATTTTTCTTTCTATATGACAGTGACTAACTTATATAGTCAAAACCAAACGTATTCT